CATTCTTCCACAAGCTTTTAAGACATAAGGGAGTGTGTAGTTATCAGGGTACATCCCAATTTTCAACATGTTTTTGTATATCTCTGTGATTCTGTTGAGCTCATTATCACCTTTGAGTAAGAATGATTTTATCATTGTATTGAATATGCAAATTGTGGGTTCTTGTATTTGTTCAAAGATTTTAAAGCCATAAATTGGGCTACCAAGATTAGGATGTGAACAGAAAGCTAACAGTCTGCTTAAAGCAAAACTGTTTTCCCCAAGTCCACATGTGATTACTTGTCCATGTGCTTGCTTGAGTTGCATCATATTTTTGCATTTCTCTAGTAGGAAAAGGCACCTTCTTGTGCATATTGACATTAGCTTTTGCTAAATTTTCATTTTTTTGAAAGAAAAGGAAGGCTTTATATTGCAGCAGCATTCACTATAATACCTATCAAAAATCAACTAAGTATTTTTTTTTATATAAATAAAAAAAATCAAACCAGATAACTTACAAAAATCTAACTAGCTTAGGAGCTAGATCTTTAGATATACATTAATTTATAATATTATGAATCTTACCAGATTTTGATGTGTCTAGATACATGTATATGAGAATACATGAGGTCAAATTAGGTGTCTAGATACATGACATCCAAGTGGATTTAGAATACATAGACAAATCTCGCTTGCTCGATCTCACTCCTCTTCACGAATGAGATGATGCGAAGACCAACTGGCTTCATTCTTCGTAAACACGGTGGTCTTATTGCGAACACAAAGAAGAGTGCACTGGCACCAAAAGACAACAGTTCAGTTGTAAACTTCTTTAACCAAAACCCGAAAGGATCCTTGGAAATCGTTTTGATAACAAACCAAATATGTAGATCGACTCAAATCACTAAAAATGCCTCAGTATTCGTGCAAACCGTCCAACAAAGTTATAAATCACCCCTCGAACCTAACGGAGCTGTCGAACTCAAATCTGCCCTCGTTAATCTAGAATATTGACTTTAATCAAACTTCAAGACTGAAAATCTTATCTGATCACCTCGGAAATTGCATCACCCAGCCCCGCAAGTCACAAATGACATATGAAACCACAAAAAGGGTCAAAACACGAAAAGAAAAAAACACATAAAACTCAAATGACCATAAGGAACGTTACAACTTTATGGAGGAAATACTCACTTAAATTAGTAATAGTAACGTCTAATAAATCATTAAACCACAACTCTATGTGGGTACAATATCTGACTCACTAATCACTATATTACTTGGCGATCAAGCACTCTTGAGTGTGCGTTTGAGAGCAACACACACCTACTTTCTTAGACTCCACTTGTGGGATTACATTGAGTATGTCATTATTGTTTCAAGAGTCAATTGTTAGTATTTAGCTTAATGCTAGACACCTGCTAAAATACAACTAAATTTGGTCCAAAATTCAGTGAGATTCAGTTGGAAAAACAAGATAGAAAGTTATATCCAACAAGTCACAAGAAGCAAAACCCAAGCCAATGTAGAAAAGCTTTACTAAAAAGTGAAAATCATACTCAAATCTCAAAACAATGATTAATCCAAAAATAGTAAATGCATTTAGAAGGAAAAGGGGCACATTATGAAGTCCAATGTTACTTTTCTATATTTGTTTCTTGGTCACACAGTCACACTTGACACAAATCTGTTTGTATGTAAACCAAAAACCTGTACAAAGTAAAAAAGGAAACTTGAAAAGTATTCACAGCCTATTCATGAAAAACAAGTAACCATCTATAAGAAGAAAAGAATACTTACCTTTCATGCAAAGATACTTTAACTTTGCTCCTTCAATCACCTTTCCCTAACAAAATAAATGTTTCTTTAAATAGGCATCAATCAGATATTCACTGTTGAAAATAGTTTCAAATTAAGCATATGAGGTAAGGGGAAAAAACATTTTGTTATCTTTCTTCTTTTATATTTTCTTCTTTTTAAACTACCTTTAATCTTCAAGAATGTAATAGGTAGGAGTGTGTTGTCTTGATGTACGTGCATACTAGTAGTCATAGTATTACTTTTCTAATTTTTTGTCCTTCAATTTCTGTTACTATCGGTTATTTCTTGTACTTTGATTAGCGTATTATTTTGTTGTAGTTTTATTCTGTTACTATTTGTTGTTTCTTGTACTCTCATTTTTCCTTTTCTGGACTGCTTTGGAATGTTTCTTTCTTCACTCGAGAATCTATCAAAAACAATCTCTTTATTTGGGATTACACTGAATATGTTGTTGTTATTGTATGGTATTCAAGAATACACTATGTGTTCCTTCTTTTAATTCCCCTAGATTTACAATTTCTTTTAGGGTGAGTTTCTCTGGTGCAGGGGAAGAATATGAACAATAGAGACAGAGGAATACCATCCCAGAAAACACAAATGTCCAAAGGTGGTATAAGCTCTTTATAAATATTTTTTTTATAACCGAGAAATTTCTGAGAGCTAGTGGGGCACGATTCAGAACTCGATGAATAACCGTGTGAGACGTGTTCCCACGGGCTCTTCAGAGTCTGAATCTTGAAACAAAACAAAAGAAAGTTTAGTGATTTTTTTTTGTATATTCTTTTTCTCTCTGGCAGAGACGAAAAGAACCGTTAGCTGGTTAGAAAGACAGTTTACGACAAAAACCAGTCGAGATTATGATTCCAGTAATGGTGTTGATTACCCAACTGCAGTAGCTGTAGCTGCATTTGTTGTAAAATCAATTGAAGACAAGAGTGACAAGGACCAAACAAGGACAAACATTGGAGCTAATAAACCTTTAAGCAAAATTAAGAGTAAAGCAAATGATACAATTGAGAGACCTGAAAAGTCCACAGGTCAGACCGACCTCTCTATAACAGTCATCCTCTATAATAACATTTCACTATAAGTAGAAAGTTTTCTTTAGAGTCGACTTTTCATGTTATGTTAGTATATTATATGTTTTCTATAACAAGCATTTTGCTATAGCAGCTAAAAAATATTTGGACAAACAACGGACATAATGGAACATTATGCAACAATTGAGTTAATGTCACTGCATTCAGAGTCGTTAAAGCCTTTAGCAGTATTTATATAGTGACAATTATATTATTATCGCTAAATAATTGAAGCAAAATCATCATATGTTGTAGTGTTTACTCATTTCCTCCTTATTTATAATCAGCTGTCAAAACTGCAAAGTCGAGTTCAAAAGTTCAAGACAAAAACATTGTAATACGAACAGCTACGTTGAATCAAAAACCACTCAACTCCACGAGATCCATTAAGCAGAGTGCAACCTTTGAGGATACCAGAAAGAACTCCACATTTAAGAACATTGACATTGCATCTACCAAAACGCCAACTAGACTATCGATGTCTCAAAAAGAGATGACGAAAGGAACAACTACGACAAATCATGTAGTTAGAAATTCTAAAGCAGATATTTGGGAGAAAGAAGAGATGAAGAAGATCAAAGAACGGTACGAAGTTATACTGAATTTCATATGATTGAAACTGAAAAACACAAATTGTTGTCATCTAACTACAAAGAGATTTTCAGCCATGAAAAGCAACATAATGTGATACTTGATTGGGAGACTAGGAAGAAGAAAAAGTCGAAACGACACTTAGAGCAAATTGAGGTTTATTCTAATTTCTCTCTTTTAATTTGATTCGAAAACAGTCTCTCTACCTCAGAGAGGTAGTGGTAACATCTGCGTATACTTTACCCTCCTCAGACTCCACTTTGTGGGATTTCACTGAATTTGTTATTCATTTGCTTACTACATACAAAATGAAATTACAGGCAAAAATAGATAGACGAAGGGCGAAGACAAAGCAAAGTTTCTACAACGATATTGAAAGGATCGAAAAGATAGCAGGAGGAGCCAAAGCAAAAGCAGAGCAAAATCAAGAAAAAGAAGAGCATAAGGTGAAAGAGAAAGCAAATAAAATCAGATCAACTGGGAAAATGCCAGCAACATGTTTGTGCTTTTAAGCTAAGATCGATTACACGAAAGAACGTAAATATTGTACAATCAACATCAACATTTGGATGATCTTTCAAACTTTTATGCAAGCAAAAGATGTAGGGAATAAACGTTTATCGTAAAAGAATATATAGTTTTCGATTGTTGAAGTGTGACACTATCGTCTTATCTTAAAGTTAAAGTTGTTAGTTCGAACACACTATTTACTTAATTATGTCTTAGACACAAACTTTACTTTGATTAATCAACTTGATACAAATGCAAACCTCCTAATTCCACCTGTGAAATTACACTAGATTTATTGTCGTTGAATGATAATCAATGGATTATAATAACTCTAGTCAATAACAGCACCATTATTGTTTCATTAGGCAAAAACTAAAATCAAGGATAATTTAATAGTCTTTCATGTAATTGATAGTACATATAGCATTAGATGGAGGGAAGATTTGTACAAATTTTCTACATATAAAGTACAGCAATATTTTTAACCTTGAAAAGTATTTATAAGGAGATCCCTGGGTCCAACCCAAATTGAAAACTACTCAATGGACTTAAAATATAGAGAGTTATATTGTGTAATATATATACCAAATGAAATCTCTTTGAATCTAGTATTTGAAGCCTTTTAAGTCGATTATCATTTGCATTTGCATAATTAGACACTTAAGTTTGTCAAAATTAAATAAATAGACGTACGCATTCTTCATATTATAATACACGTAGGATGCCACATATAACACAAAATTGTTAGGTAGGACGTCATGTAAGGAAAATGTGTCTATTCATTTAATTTTATACAAATTTGAATATACTTGTACATATCCAAAATTCGATAACATAGATGTCCGAGCCGAAAAAAGATTAGATGGAACAATGTGTGGTTCTCTAAAACAAATTTATTTTTATTAATTGGCCTAACACAAGTGGCAATGCAGCCTAGCCACACATTACAAATCACATTTATCCAAATATTAAATAGAAATTAGTAAAACATAATATCAAAAAAATTAAATCAGATCAAGGTCAATGCTTCTTCAAGAAATCTCCGGCCATCTTCAGATAATCTCCTTTTTTACCAGATTCCGACGACTGACTCCCATCGGAATTTTTCTTCAAAAGTCCTTCCGCCATTTTAATATACTCACCATACCCACTTCCTGCTTTTTCATGTTTTCCTCCACCTGTATGCCCCGATGACTGCGTATGTGCAGTCGCGGCGGCGGTGGTGGTGGAATGATGAGAAGTTTCGTATTTATGGAGATAAGTCTCTGCTTTTCCGACTAATTTCCCGATCCCCGTCTCTTCTATTTTACCGTACTGTGAGGCGGCGTTAAGGAGGTCAGCAGCAGCTCCGGCGAGCTCCGATTTCTCAAATTGTTTTGGATCGTGATGGAGTTTTGCTTTGGCGGCGTCAGCTACTAGCTTGGCGCTGGACATCACCTCAGATTTGGATGGCTTCGGGTGGCTGTTGGGCTTATGGGTCGATGAATGACCCGATCCGGATGTGGTCTTGGCTTGTTTTGGATCCATAGAATGAACTAGTAGTTTTTGATTAATAAAATAATTGAGGTGCAAACGAGTTGATAGGTTCTCAAGATTATGTGAGAAAATTGATGAATGAACAATGGTAGCTATGAATATATTTATAAAGGGGTGATTTTTAAAGTATTAAATTGTTTAGGGGAAGGAAAGGGCTATATCATTATGATTTTGTATTTTTGGTTGTGGTACAAGTCAACACGTTATGGTGTAAAAGCTTAAACGAGTAGACAACTCATGTGTATTATCCGTGTACCAACACATACAAGTTGAGGAAGGTATGTGTTAAGCCTTGATATCAATAAAGAGGTGTTTTAGGCCGATATCGTTGGAATTATGGATTTTTAAAAAAAAAAATTAATTATACTAGTTGTTTAAGTGACCACACACAAATCTCTAGAAATAAGTGGCAGATGTGCTAGCGAAGGAAGGGGTTAGGCGCCCCTTTTGGAAGATGCAAGCTTTTTGGAAGTCCCCGGTGTGTGTTATAAAAGAAATGGAAGCAGACATTATAGGAACTACTTTTATTAGAGAAATTAACACTTGTAATATTTATTGATAATATAGGCCAACTAGTGGCCCTAAACTATGCATCGGGTCAAGTTGAAAACAATGCTCCTTTTCTTACTTGAGTTAATATAAAGGTCTTGCGTCTGGACCTCCATAAGGTCATTCAGAATTACTTTAAACATAATTTAATCATATTTAATTTTGTTAGACAACATGGTGACAGATTGTTGTATTAACTATCAATTAAGTGCTCTTGATTCATATCACTAGGTCTTTGGGATTCAAATGGATTTATGAGGTGCAACATTATAATGGAATGTCCCGATTGCAATATCTTGTACCAAATAATCGTATATTGAGAGTATCATGAGTGACCCTCTACTGAAATCTTTCACCTCTACAATGTTCATGTGCATGAATATTATGTCTATGTTAATATAATATTTCAGTACGTGATTCAATTTCTATCACAGACAATCATAATCAACTCATAATCAATATTCAATACATGAAAATAAAGAAGTGAAAGAAAAATGAATTTGAAGCCTAAATAATGGAGAAGAAAAAATAAGGTCGGCCAAATTAAAGTGTCAAAACAAAATTAACGTTTTCTACATATATCACACTAATTTAATACGCTATACAAGACGTAGATAACAACTCTCATTAAAATTTGTTAATATACGAGTGTGACTATTTAGGAAATTGACTCTGTTTTGCTCCTTACCATAGTCTAAAACCCAAATTATACAGAAAAATGCCAAAGCACCTCCCAAAATTTCAAGTCAAAAGGGAAAAAAATCCGCAAAATCTCAATACACTTTCTGTCCAAGAAGATAGTCTTTGTTTAGGCGAGTTCATCACATCTCCATCTTCTTCCTCCAGCAAAATTCCTCCCAAAAAGTTTCTGTCTTTGCCTTGCTTCTTGCTGTATTCTTGAAAACCCACATTGATTCTGCAGGTACCTGCTTAGATTTTTTTATTTTTTTTAGTTTATATGAATATTTATGTGTTTCTGGGAAACCCCTTTGTGTATATATTTGTGGGTCTTTCCTCTTTTTTCCTGGGAATTAATTAATCTTTGATTATGAACCATTGGAAGAAATTTTGAATTGGGGTCTTTAAGTAGTACATGCTTCAGTATTGGTACTAACTTTTGTGTAATTGTCAATTTTAGACTTCTTGATAGAAACTTATATGTGGTTGATTGATTTGGATTGATGATTTTAAAGGTTTTAAGATAGAGTTACAATCATGGGGTTGTTGAGTTTTGACTATAGTGATATACTCTCTTTGTCCCAATTTATGTTACTACTATCTTTGGCACATCCCAAGAATGCTTTGTTTATGTCATTATCTTCCTGCTAAACCAAATAGTTCGATCTAACCCGGTGGACTTAGAACAAAAAATGTGTTCTTTCAGAATAAGTGTATCATGTTTAAATAGTTTCAACCTATTCTAAGATAAGATTCGAAGAGCAGATTAGCCGTAAGCAGATGACTAATTCTCTCTGTAAACCACGGATTCAAGGTCTAGTTGAATTACGGCTATTCTCACTAGTCTTTATTTCCCTTCTCATCCAGCTTGAGATTCGGCTTTTAAGTCGAGTGGGGTACAGGCTTTAAGAAAGCGCTACTGGACCCACGACTTCTCGAAGAATGTTTTATACCATTTATTTTGTGTGCAATTTTGGCAACTTCCTAGAATTCAGATCCATTGAAGCATTCAAATTTTAAACTTTGATACCATGGTTTCTCCATTAAACTAGCCTGTCGACTTTTACTTTAACGTTTTCCTCTATTGTGATATTTAAGTCAAATTAACTTCTTAAGCTTTGTCTAGTCATATAAATACGGAACGGACAGCTGTGCAATGTGACATAGCAAGTATTTCGTGATTGAGCATCAGTTAAATCAGTGTTATTAAAACCCATATAGCTCAATTCAGCTAATGATGTTCAAAGTGATCTCTCAACAAGAAGCAGTCGGTTCTTTGATCTCAACTTTGTCAAGTTTGAGTAATATGAACATCATATCATATATATATATATAAAAGAGAACCTTAGGCCTGCCTACGTGGCGCTATCACAAACCAAAATTCCCTTTTAATTTATTTATTTCCAAATATATATAAAAGAGAACCTTAGGCCTGCCTACGTGGCGCTATCACAAACCAAAATTCCCTTTTAATTTATTTATTTCCAAATATATATAAAAGAGAACCTTAGGCCTGCCTACGTGGCGCTATCACAAACCAAAATTCCCTTTTAATTTATTTATTTCCAAATATATATAAAAGAGAACCTTAGGCCTGCCTACGTGGCGCTATCACAAACCAAAATTCCCTTTTAATTTATTTATTTCCAAATATATATAAAAGAGAACCTTAGGCCTGCCTACGCACAACCTTTCCGAATGGTTGCAACTTTTCCAAATAGTTGTAACTTTTCCGATAAGGCACAATAAACATTTGTTTACACTACCCTTTGTTGTTTATAAATAGAGGGATTTCCTCTCATTTTAACACAACGAAAATTCTGAACTTCCTCTTCTTCTTCACAATTAAATATTTGTGTACTTTGCTCATGTTGAGTGGCTCACTTACACCATTGCTTATGTTACAGATGCCAGTATGTATTTTAACAACCATTAATTTATGCTTATATTATTAAGGATAAATGATAAGATGTAATATTTTTCATTTTCCTTTACATTATTAATATTTTTTACTACGTAATCTTGTATGTAAGACAATATAATGTTTTAGTTTTAATGAATGATAGGTTTTAAGTATTATTTTATAAATTTTGTGATATTAAATTCCCGCGCGAAGCGCGGGTAATTTTACTAGTTATTATATTGAATCCTGAAATTATCAATTTTAATTGAAATTTGACTATTATAGTACTGAGTTTATATATGTTCAAAGTTTCCTTAAATTGTGCACTTCACTTTAAAGCAAAGTGCGATTCACTTTTCACTTTCCACTTTCCACTCAAGCTCCATGGATATTGTTGCTTCTTTGTGCTTTATGCTTCTAAAAGTACCGAGTTAAATATGAGGAGCTATTTGGATGTAAAGATTCTACTTTTCTTTGAAATACTACTGCTCTCAGGGATTACTAGTCTGGGACTCATGGTTTGGCATCCTTATATTCTAATACCAAATATTTTGTTCTTTTCCCAGGGAGATTTGAGTTGTTCAAGTATAATCCATGTGGGGTTATTAGATATCAGTATGAGTTTGACTTTAGCAATAATCAAATAAAGGGGAATGTCAGGTCTTTTTTCGAACAATTAGAAAAGAGATTCGAAAAAGTGTAGCACAATATGTATCGCCCTGTGCCTATTACTACCCGAGGTGGGGAACCTACAGATAGTGGAGATCCTGTGGTGACGTTGGACCAAGTTCCACGTTGGAGTAATGCTGAATTTAGGTATGCATATGAGAATGCAGATCCTACTAATTCATGCTTTCCGGATCCTTTGGCATCTGCTTCTGGGTCTGAATGCAATGCTAGTGGCATGGTTTCCAAGTTTCCCATGGATCATGAGATTAACTCCAAGATATACTTGTGGAGAGGCGATCCCTGGAATCTCGAGGTAGATGCTGTTGTTAACTCTACTAATGAGGTAAGAGGTGACTATTCACGTAGCATTATTTGTTTTGCATGTCCATCATAAATGTGAGAATCTTTTTGTTGTTTAGTATTGAACATCTAGGTTTGCCTGCAATGTTTCATGTGAGATGGCAACATAAAGGTGAACTTGTAGCCAACAAATTAGCTACACTTCCATTTTATTTTTTTTGAAGGTTTTCAGTCCTTGAAGCCAACAGATTATCTCATCTGTGTATGCTCTGATTTAAGTGAACTTCGACTAACTTTATTAAGCAAGGGGATGACTGAAATTGTCGCTTATTCTTGAACTGAGACTCAATGTCCAAAATATAATCTTAAATTTTCTTTTCTTTTCTCTGAAAGAATGAGGTAGGTAGGTGGGTTAGCATAAAAGTTGATAAGTGTGAACATGTTGATTTTGGTAGCAAAGGCATGAAGAATTTGTGTTTTTTTTGGGATTTCAAGTTTAGAACTGTCTAGAAATTGAAACATGTAGTTTTTTTATTTTGTCCCATAAATGTCTTGTTCACTTTCCTGAACATTATGTGGACAAACAATGTGATGGGAGATATAAGATATGGTTTCACCTATTTTTTTTATTTTTATGTAGACATTTATATGGTGTATCATTTATTGATCTATACTCTTCAACATGAGATTTATACCTCTTTTTTGGTGGTCAAAAGAACTTAGACGAAGCTCACAGCAGCCCAGGATTGCATGCTTCAGCTGGACCTGGTCTTGCAGAAGAGTGTACCACATTGGTAGG